TTATGAAAGGATAAAAAACAAAAGACAATTATCTACACCATTACTTACTATCCTGATGTGGGAGAGTATATGGTGGCTGGTGAAGAGACAGAGTGGGAGTTGATGGTATTTCTAAAAATAAATTGTAATTTGCAGGCAATGTGTGTGTGTGTGTGTGTATAGGGCAGGGGGGGGAGGTGAATATTATGGACAAAGTTGGTTCAGCTTTGACTACTATAACACAACTAACACTGCTCAGCTGAACAGGTAATTAGGATGCATATAGTGAATGATGTTCAAAGAACACCGGATAACCAATTTATCAATGCTGTCATCATCCTTTGAATGGGTATTAAAACATCTCTAGCCTTGCCGTTATTCTCATTTGATCGCTAACATTAAGCAAGATTGAATCTGGTCAGTAGATGGTGAGCAACGCCCCAAAAGTGTAAGCACGTCACAGTCTATCATGTGACTGAGATAGTGGTGCTCATAGTTCAAGATCAAGCCTGGGTAAAGAAAGGATTTCAGAAGCTGATTTTCAAGTCAGGTAAACTTTGCAAATTGGTGCAATTCTCAGAGTGATGATTGCCTACATCTGAAACTGACAGGACATAAAAAATACAATGTTCATCTAAGGTAAATGAACACCCCCACCTTGCAATCCAATCCTTGACCTTGTCGGTGTTCACCAAAAGTTGGGAAAGGGTACGATGCATGCTCACAAGGTAACATGCTAAAAGAAACGCCACACTGAGAAATAAAAGACGTGAATCCTATTTTCTATATTTTATTCAGGGCTTCACTGCTTGTGCAAGTAGGTATGTAGGTAGGTGATATGGGGTAAAACTTTTGCTATATCAGTTATTCGCCTATCAACTCCTTGCCCAACTACTCATCCCGTGGTGACTGGCAAATAAGAAATGGAAACTTTGGAACCATGACATGGACACATCCATCTCCCACCAAGAGCGGACCAGCACTCTGCCCAATTCTAAGCATGACCGTTAATATAGATCAGCATCCAGATATAACCTATTTCCAGTTTTGTTACGACTTGATCTCCAAAAATCTCTCATACACTCCTTTATTTATATATTATCCTACAGTCAAAATGGATGCTGCTTAGAAAACCAAACCTCAAAAGGATCCACCCACTGGTTCAGTGAACAGAAACAGTTGAAATCAAAATAAAACCACCTCTTCTCCTTCTGTGGGTGTCCATAGTATCACATTGTAACTTGTATCCACTCAAAGCTAAGTATAGCAAAATTTGGCATGCTGTATGGTGTTAGAGGTCAATATTTAATTCCAGTTTCTATGTTTAGTGACTCTCAATTTTCCCCGAGAGAGAGGAGAGTTGAGAAGTGCGAAAACAGAAATCTTTAGGACATAGGTGATCTTTAAAGCAATGTTTGTTCCCTTACCATGCTTCCCACTTCTTGTACTGTCATTTATTTACCCCAAATTGTTGCTCAATGTTTTCCCTCTATCCCTCGTATGTCCTGTGAGTGCCAAATTCTCCAAGCCCTCTTTTCTCATTATGTGCTCCAGAAATTTCAACTGTCTTTTTCTGATTTGTGGCACAATTTTTTTGTTTTCATATTCTTTGCAACTTCCTCCATGCTCACATGCTCTGTCCATGTTATTCTCAGCACCTGTAAAACCACATCTCTGTTGCCTTGTCTTATATCCCTTTGTGAGAAAACTGCCTCATATTCATTGCCATAAAGGGGGATTGATATTATATCACAGTTCAGCACTCTTTTCTTTGATTCTAACAAAAGTTTCCTGTTTCTTAATCCTTTGCTTATTTTCTGAAAGGCACCTTTTGCTATCCCAAAGTTCCATCGGATTTCAGTGTCACATTTTCCGTTGTTACTCAGATATTCCAGTCATGGCATTCTCAGCACCCTTTTGTGGAACCAGATTTCTGTTGCCTCTAGTTTTTTCTTCATCTGTGAGGAAATTTAATGTGTGTAAATTTTACACAGATACAAAGGAAATTAAATGAAGCAGAGTGATTTAAAAAATAAAGGACAAATTTTACATATCATATTTATCCTGTATTTTTGCAAAAGAAAGAAAACCAAATCCATAAGTTGCGGATTGCTTGTTTTTTCTTCATTAATATCTATGGCCAAAATCTTTGTTTTATGACAATGATGTAAAAATCTTAGTTGCAGAAAAAAGCTTCAAGAACATATTCTGGAAACATGCATGAAAGCACTTTATCAAAATCAAATGGAACTTTTAAAAATTCAAAATCCTTCTGAATAAATGTTGGCCATTAAATATTAAACAAATGGAAAGCTTGATAAATATTGGCTCGTCATTAATAATTTCTGTTTTTACTTATTTTTTGAAGAATAAGGTTGAAAAAGTACAATTACATTTTATTCAATTACTGCATTGTTGTAACCTAGGAAAGGTTACTGAATAGAATAATGACATGAAGGTTGGTAATGAACAATAATACTTAGGACAAGAACAACACATATAAGATTCACCAGTAGCTCATAGAAAAAGTAGTCAACTGCAAGAAGTGAGTCAAGTGAATTCTACAAGGAATCTCCAACTGCAGACCAACATACAGTATTTACTACTGTATATGAATGGGGACATACCCATTATCATCTGTAGGTATGCTACAACCTGTTTATACACGTGCATCATGTGACTTTTGAATGAACCAAATGTGCATTTAGTGTTTCACTGCATTTTCACAATTCTAAATCTCTAATTTATATACCTTGACTGTTCTCAGTGCTTCGATAACAAATATCATAACTGTCATCTTCATTTTCTAGAATTTTCTCATCTCTTTAACAAAGTCAAGATATTAGGTTGAGTCATAAATAATTTCTGTTTTTGGGGAACCAATTGTAATGGCGAATGTATCATACTAACTAATTGTTCCTTAAATATGTCATAAAAGGTGATGAAAAATCGATTGCACACAAAGTTCAACGTAAAAGGCAATGGAATAACACGGATGTATCTCTACAAACAATCCCAAGAGCTAAGATCCATGGAGGAAAGCTCAATGTCATGTATATGGTTGGATCCACTGAATATTATTCATCCAGAGTTTATGTTCATTTAATGCACATTTATATATCCAGCAGCTGCAACCTGTCCTTAAAGATTTGGACAAAAAGTGCACCTGTGTTTGTTAATAGTAAAAATATTGTTCTCTTCCATGACAACAGCATGGTTACATAGAGCACGAATAACACAGGAAAACATTTTGGAACTCAGATGGTTTGTTCTACACTTCTATATTCACCTAACCTTTCTCTAATAGAATACAGATTCAAGAGTTTGTCTAAACCTTTTTGACCTGTGGAATTTTCATCAAAAGGCATGGAAGAGATAAGAGAGTGGCAACAAGTCACTGCAAATAAGGGTGACTATATAACTGAATAAAATGTAATCGTAATTTATTATTTTGAAGAATAAAATTGGTAAACAACCAGATTCAAGAGTTCACCGAAGAATTTTTCCATATCAAAACTTTTGGAATTTTACTCAAAATGTATTGAAGAGCTGCCTTTTTTTTTTCTTTTTTTTTTTCAAGTTGCTACACTACACCCATCTAGTGTTGCACACAGAGCCATGCCTGAGGTGTCAAGGTTTCAAGGGGTGTTAAGTCAGCAAACTAGAAGATAGTTTGTAATTGGCAGTTGAGGTCACCATTGGTGACATATCCCCATTTCTGAAAGTTGATTCTACAGTGACCAACAGGCAGGAACAGAAGAGGCAGGCATCACTGGAGCCAGGAGTGGGGATTCTGTAGGGCTGAGAAAGAGTCTGTGTTTCACATTGTTAAGGTGGCTAAAAAGAGCTGACTGATAAGTGGCAACAAGTCATTGCGAGTACTGGTGAATATATAGCTGAATAAAATGGAATTGTAATTTATTATTTTGAAGAATAAAATTGTTAAACAAAAAATGTAATATTTAAAAAAACTGTTTATGACTCAACTGAATATCTAAAATTTATTTATGACAACTTAATATCAAAAAAATTATTTATGGCTCAACCTAATTTTTGTGATGTCAACGAACACTCGTTGACACTCTTGTAATGTTTGTTATAGTAGAGATTTTGTAATGGCAGATACAACTATAGTAATGCCGCTGAACAATACTGCTGTCAGACACCTTCGAATAATCTTGCACTAATAGTACTTGCTTGATAATACTCACTTGAAAAGTAAGAGTAGAGAATAGCGGTATGTATAGTAATAAAGGATAGACTAGAAATGGTGATCTATTAGACGCCATGCTAATTCCCATATATGCATTTCCTCTCATGTCATGTAGTCTACTTAATTCAATAATGGGATCGCCTGCGTTTGCTCAATGGCGATCTATGTTCAAACTAAAGTGTCAGCAGTGACACTTTATTCCTTTTTTACACTAATATAAAAAGTTTTTGACTCAACCTAATATAAAAAGTATTTATGACTCAACCTAATATTTTAAATAATTATTCCTGACTCCACCTAATATCAACAAAATTGTTTATGACTCAACCTAATATTTAAAAAAAAATTTATGACAATCTATTATCAAAAAATTACTTACAACTCAACCAAATATTAAAATAGTATTTATGACTCAACCTTGTTGTTGCTGTCAAAAGTCAAGAACAGAAATGGCTTCTGGTATCTGGTACAGTTCTTGGTTTGTGATTCTGTAACATCAGTTTATAAGGTTGGAAAAAGTGTGGACTTCATCAAGATCGACAATCTTCACTCACTCAAAGCAATTTTTAGCCATTGGTCTTAGAAAGTGGTTGTATACAGCTGACAGTTTAGATATTTCTGAATGGGTCTGGCACCATGCTTGATATTCATATAAATGTTAGTCAGTAATACTATGGATCATGTAGCTCTTGATTTTATTCATATTTCTTAATTTGTACATCAGTAAGTCTAACTTCTGGATATCTATTTTGTTAAAACTGATTATAGAGTCATCATTTTTGTGATTAATTACTATTTTTTGAGTTCAGTTGAAAGGTTTATATGATATGCACAGTGGTATGGCTAGGGTTTGGACACCAATTGATGATGGTCAAGCTTGAAGTATTATTTCGGCTTATGGCCATATAACTTTAAAACAGAAACTTTAAATAATCTGCAAAGGATTGATAAGTTGTAGAAAACAAATTAATCAATCTTTTAAACACAGTTTTTCAAGTCCAGTAGCTGTTATTGCTCTTTCCAGTAATGATGGAGTTTTCTTTCCTAACCTTTTATTTGAAGTTCTGTGGAATGTTAACATGTTTATTATGTCCTTATTTTCTCTTCAATTTACATGGGCTATCCATTTTAGTTGTTGCTGCTGTTGGAAGTTTTCAAGTGATATGATTTCTGTTATTTGGTACAGTTATTTGGGATTCTGTATCAACAGTTCAAAGGAAGATCTTTGCCAAGACCACCAAACTTTACTTGCTCAAAGTCTATTTTAACCATTGATCTTAGAAAGTGATTGTATACAGCTGACAGTTTAGATATTTCTGAATTTGACACCATGCATGGCAGCCATATGAAAGTCTTTTATTCAATGATAGAAAAATAGTTTAACAAGAGAGAAGGGGATGGAGACTGAAAGATTAAAAGAGAGAAGAGAGTCCCAAAACTTTTGATAAAGGTTGAACAAAAGAGAGGACAGAGACTGAAAGAAAGGTTCAATGATACTGAAAAAAAGTTTGAACAAAAAGAGAGAGGGACAGAGACTGAAAGAAAAAGGTTGAACAAAGAGAGAGGAAACAAGAGAGAGACTGAGAGAAAGGTTGAACAAAAGAGAGAGGGGACAGACTGAAAGAAAAGGTTGAACAAAGAGAAAGGTTGAACAAACAAGAGAGAGAGAGGGACAGAGACTGAAAGAGAAAGGTTGAACAAGAGAGAGAGAGAGGATAGAGACTGAAAGAGACTGAAAAGAGAAAGGTTGAACAAAAGAGAGAGAGGGACAGAGACTGAAAGAGAAAGGTTGAACAAAAGAGAGAGAGGGACAGAGACTGAAAGAGAAAGGTTGAACAAGAGAGAGAGAGGGATAGAGACTGAAAGAGAAAGGTTGAACAAAAGAGAGGGACAGAGACTGAAAGAAAAGGTTGAACAAGAGAGAGAGACAGAGACTGAAAGAAAAAGTTGAACAAACAAGAGCGAGAGAGAGAGAGAGACTGAAAGAGAAAGGTTGAACAAGAGAGAGAGAGGGATGGAGACTGAAAGAGAAAGGTTGAACAAGAGAGAGAGAGAGGGACAGAGACTGAAAGAGAAAGGTTGAACAAGAGAGAGAGACAGAGACTGAATGAGAAAGGTTGAACAAGAGAGAGAAAGAGATGGAGACTGAAAGACCCAGGAGCCACAGCCTTCACTCGCTAAAAACCAATTTTAATCATTGATCTTAGAAAATGTTTGGATCAGGGCTCATCAAATGGGGTCTGAGCAACTGTTGGGGGGGGGTCGATGTTAGTCAAGGGTTCAAATGGGGGTTGGTTTGTGAATGACACTGAGCTAAATTTTAGTTAGTGTACATTTATTTTGTATTTTTTGGTGCTGATGAAAGAAAGTTAACCATCTTCTTTGCATATAATACCTTATAAATTAGATATTAATAGCAGTTATTAATAATGGTTGAAAATACTGCATCTAATAAAAGACAAAAAAAATGAAGATAATGACAGCAGCATTGTTTATTGGTGGCAGCTGGTGAATATTTTTCATGTCTGAAGAAAAGAGTTGTTTTAATTGTATTATTAGATTTTATGGTTAAGCTAAAATTCCACACAGGTTGGCTGCATTGGTCAATGATGGTTCTAGTCTTGTGTTTAAGAGTAGAAATTTAGAATACAAGTGAGTGGATTGTAGTCGAGGAATGGCGGTTGGAAAGAGTAAGAGAGGGGTTGAACAAATAGGTTGAAAGAAATTGAGAGTGAGGAAAAGAGGTTGAACAAGAGATGTATAGGGGATAATTGAGAGAGAGAGAGAGAGAGAGATTGAAAAAGAGAAATGATAATTGAGAGAGAGTGAAAGAGAGGTTGAACAAGAGAGAGAGAGTAAAAGAGAGTTTGAAGGAGAAAGTGAAATAGAGGTAGTACGAGAAAGATAGTGAAAGAGAGTTTGAACAAGAGAGAGAGTGAAAGAGAAAGGTGAGACTGAAGGAGGAAGGTTGAATGAGAGAGAGAGAGAGAGGGTGACTGAAAGAAAAATGTTGAACGAGAGACAAAGAGAGGAAGGGAGACTGAAAGAGAAAGGTTGAACAAGAGAGAGGGGGATGGAGACTAAAAGAGAAAGGTTGAACGAGAGACAGAGGGATAGAGACTGAAAGAGAAACGTTGAACGAGAGACAGAGGGATAGAGACTGAAAGAGAAAGGTTGAACGAGAGACAGAGGGATAGAGACTGAAAGAGAAAGGTTGAACGAGAGACAGAGGGATAGAGACTGAAAGAGAAAGGTTGAACGAGAGAGAGAAAGGTTGAACGAGAGAGAGAGAGAGAGAGAGATGGAAACTGAAAGAGCCAGGAGCCACAGCCTTCACTCGCTAAAAGCCAATTTTAACCATTGATCTTAGAAAATGGTTGGATCAGGGGTCATCAAATGGGATCTGAGCAACTCTGTCGGGGTCAATGTTAGTCAAAGCTTCAAATGGGAGTTGGCGTGTGAATGACACTGAGCTAAATTTTAGTTAGTGTACATGTATGTTGTATTCTTCAGTGCAGATGAAAGTTAACCATCTTCTTTGCATATAATACCTTATAAATTAGATATTAATAGCAATTATGCATTTCTGTTCAATAACATCAGCTGTATTTAGACTTGGTGTACTTAATATATTATTTGCTTAATTCATATATTTTCTTAAATATATTTTTTGGGGAAAACTTCTGAACCTGATGATTCTTACTGTTTCATATATTTTAGTAACATTTTAATTACCAACATCAGTGCAAGTTTTAAGGTTCAAAGATATTTTAAATGAAGGTCACTGAGGAAGGAAGATAAATAAAAGAGGTTCTCCGGTTGAAAAAGTTTAACAAACTGCTTTAGATATTTCTGAGCAGGTTTGATGCTATGTGTGACATCCATATGAAAGTCTCAATCTGAAGAGGCTATTTAAGAATATGACTTGAGTTTTCAGGTTAATGTTTTTATTTTGTAGTAATTTGCAGTGTTAGGGGAAATTACATCTAGTGCTGTTTAATTTATGTTCAATTTCCTTCTAAACTAACAAAGAATATACAGTCTGAGTGTGGGTACAGTGTTTAAAATTTGCTATATTTGTGTGCGCAGAGGTGGGGGGAGAGTGCTCAGTATCAGTAATTGAGTCTTTATATATACAAGATTGCTTAAAGACCAAGAGAAATTCTTTGTTTAGAATTTCTTAAAATAAAATTTTCTATTGGGTTGGTACATAATTATCAGGTGTTTTTGTAGGCGAGTTATTTGTTAATAAAAATTGCTGTTTTGTTTGCTTTTTTTTTTTACTAAAAATATTATTTTATTTTCAGGTTATAAAAATGCGTGACGCTAATCATACACTCTGGAATAATCATTTAAACATGTTATTGTTGAATTATGTTTCTTTTTTCATAATAAATAGTGTTTAAAAACGCCTGATAATTATGCACCAACCCACTATGTTTTGTATCATTTTTCTGGTTTCTGGTACATATTTAAATACAAATTTTCTAATGTCCAGCTATTTTCATCTCTCATAAACCATTATCAGATAGTTTGTTATTTGTGCCATGTTAGTTTCATCGATTTTCAAATATCACATTTTCACGTGTCAGTTCATGCTATCATGCCATTTATTTATTGTTTGATTTTATTTATGGAATATATGTAGCATGTTTGTTCCAAAATGTGATAACATTTGATTGATGTTTGTTTGTATGCTTAATGCTTTGAATATTTGTAATTTTTTTTTAATGTAGGAATAAAGTGTTGCTGCCAACACTTGAGTTTGAACATAGATCACCAGTGAATAAACACAGGTGATCCCATTATTAAATTAAGTACCATAGAGAAAACGCCTAAGTAGGAAGTTACATGATGTCTAATGGAACACCATTTCTTCTCTACTATATTGAACGCTATTCCCTATTCTATTCACTATACTATTTCTCTATTCAGATCACAATATGGATTACTGTTCATGCGAGTATTATCGAGCAAGTACTATCAGTGCGAGATTACTCAAAGGCATCTGACACCAATATTGTTCAATGGTGTACTATAGTTGTATCTGTGATTACAAAGTCTACTACAACGAGCATTACAACAGTGACAACAAGTATTTATTGGCATTACAAAAGTGGCAATGAGTGTTTATTGACATCACAAAATTTTTATGCGATTTTTGTTTTTTGTTACTGGCAAGAATTAGTTGGGATTCTTGTGTTTTGTTGTTGAGATGCTTAGTGATATGCATTCTAATTGGTCTAGGTCATCTATTCATGAGATTCTGTGATAAGCATACAGTCTTTAACCAGAGTCGGTTCAACCCACCCTGGATGAACAGCCTGCCATCTATCCTGACCTTTTCAAACTGCTAGTTCACCTTATGTTAGTACACAATGATTTTTTTTTCTTCTTCTTGTTTTACGGTATATCAATCTCTGTAAGTCGTCTTAGTACCGAATCCTTTCTTTAGTACACTTAAGATTTGTAAACAAGAATCAAGAAGACTGTAGATAACAATTGACATTGCATTTAAATTTTTGAAGATCAAAGATTTCTCGAAAACATGGAGCCGGAAGAGAGTTCCACAGGTGATAAGTGCGAGAAAAATAAACTGTTAGCCTAGAACTTACAGTTACTCTTAACCAATTCAACCGAAAAATGATGAGACCATGTTGCCAATCTAGTATTGTGCTTCTATATATAAAATTCTGTGACTTCTGTTAGTCTGTCTGTCCATCACACCCTCTAAAAAAGTCATGCGTTGACCAATCAAAACCAAATCTTGGGGAGAAGTGCAAACAGGTAATGGAGTACAAAGTACAGTTGGTTTTACTAGGGTGCATAAAAACTGTGAAATAGGGTTTTTGTCAAAGGATTTTTCAAAACAAATCAGCTTGTTCAAATTTCATCAATTGGTTTGCAAAATTGAACGAAATGTAGAGTTTGTAAATCTTGATAAAAATGTTAGAGATAACTTCAACAATATTAAATACTGTGATGATTTCATCATGAATCAGTATGTTGCAAAAAATTCTAGTAAATTCTTAATGTTTATGTACCATATAGCAAATTCTCAATAGTGACTATGTTCATTCATAACAATTTGACTATTCACTACAATCTTAATGTCTTCAAGTCTAGAGTCAGTTGTCATCTAACCTTTATATCTTCATAATATGCACTTCTTACTTCCTCCCTTTAGACTTGAACAAGAGCATCATTTAGTAACCCTTTACCTTGAGTGGCACTCAGGCCTTGTATTTGGGAAACAATAGTATTAAAATTTGGTACTTAAATCATCAAATGAGTTTTCCAATTTATCAAAACACATCAGGGAAGACACAGTCTTTGAAAGTCATCTAAGATTTTATATCTTCATAAAAAACACACTCACAAATATATCACTCACACAACCAAAGTAAAGCTAGTCATGTTATTATTATTATTATTATTATTATTATAAACACATCAATACCATAAATCTTTCTTCTTCTTGTTTAATGTCATATCAACTTCTGTAGGTCATCTTAGTACCAAATCCTTTATTTAGTATACTTAGGATTTGTAAGAAAGTTTGTAGTTAAATTCTTTAGAGATGAGTTTTTGGTTAAAAAGAATTTTTTTGCTTGGATTGTAATAAATGACATCTTTATGTAAAGCTGTTATGTAGGAATAAAATATTACTGCTGACACTTGTGCTTGAACATAGAGCGTCAGTGAATAAAAACAGGCAATCTCATTACTGAACTTAGTAGATCATGTGACCATAGGGGAAGTGCATATATAGAGGAAGTCCTAATATGTAGGCATTGACAAAGTATCAAACAAGTATATGTTGTCATAGATAGAGTGGCAACAAAGAGTCGTTTTTGATAACACAACAAAAGCCTCAACTTTATAAAGTTAAAGATATTGTTTGGGTTGGTTTGTCTGAAAAGCTTCCTCATATCTCTTACTTTTTTTATAGAATTTTTCCTGGATATTATTAAAGTCAGTACAGTCTATAAGTATGTTTTTCATGGTATATGGTTCTTGGCATACTGTATGTATTGGAGGTTCCTCATTTTTAAGGAGAAAAGAATGGGTTAGGTCAGTTTGGCCAATGTGAAATCTAGCTAGAACTATGTCTTCTCTTCTCTTTCTATATCCTGGCGGCCATTTTCCAATGGTGGGTTGGATATTTTTGAAGTTTGTTTTGTGTGAACTTGTTTCATGTTTCTTGCCATATTTTGCTAATGGATTTGGATATGGTTTCTTCAAGTCTGCATAAGGGAATTTAATGCTTGATGTGCAGGGCTTTTTTGGATCATTTATCTACACCTTTCATTCCTATGAATTCCAGTGTGGCTGTGTATGCAACAGAAAATGATGGCTTCCTTTTTGGAGGTTTCTGTATTCAAAGACTATTCTCCCCTAAATTTATTAATTCACTGTTTTTTGTACACTACACCCTGTAATATAGCAACAACTCTAAGTAGAAGCTTATAAAGCTTTATTTGACTGATTCTAGTTTGGTGCTAAAAAAACCTTTATTTTATTGTGATGGATGGTTACAAGCAGGAGGGGAGATGGGATGTGCTTATTTTATTACAACACACACAAATGCAATATAATTCTTAAAATCTATTAGAATCCTTTTTTTAACATAGAAATTTCCTTCCCCTACCTTAAAATAAATTTTTGATTGCCAGTTAACTTCAACATTACACTTCTTCAACAGCTATTATTTACACTATTTACATTGTTCAGACTGTTGTCCTCATCTTCGTTGCCATATTCACAATGTTTCAGCCGTTGTATGCTCCGGCCTTCTTCAGGTGATCAGAATCTGAGGACATCTGGCCCAGTGGATAAAAGCGTTGGTTGAATCCAGTGATTTGACCCAAAGAGTTGTGAGTTCAATACCTGGCTACAGCTGAGGTGAACAAAAACTTGGAGAGTTGAGTTGAAGGGAGATAACTGATACAGCGACATCCCAAAGAGGCATGACATGGGGAACTAGAACAATCTATGGTAGAGGAAATAAAGCGTTTAGTTCAAAATTCCAATCACTTGAAGAAGTCTGAAGCATACAACAGCTGAAACGTCATGAATATGGCAATAAAGATGAGGACAACAGTCTGAACAATGTAGTGTAAATAATTACAATGACTCATCTCAGAAATAGAGAGAGATGTTGAAGGTGAATATGGCAATAAAGATGAGGACAATAGTCCAAACAATGTAGTGTAAATAATTACAATGACTCATCTCAGAAATAGAGAGAGATGTTTAAGTTGAATATGGCAATAAAGATGAGGACAAGAGTCTCAATGTAGTGTAA